TCGCCTGTGGCGGCGCCCCTGGACAAAGCGCAGGTTCGACCGCGCGCGGGCCCGCCATGATTCAATTCTGAACGTACATTGGCACATGCCTTGGTCAAAGTTTTGGCGCTGATATGAGAGTGTTGTGCGATGTCTCTGCATGCCTTGCTGGTCGCCAAGACGAGCATGTACAGTACCTGTGTCATCCGAGAAGGTCCTCGATGTGATCCTAAAACTGATCGTGCGAGACGTGGCCAGCCTGGGCTACCTTCGCTGTGAACACATGTGAGATCAGCCGCGGCACATGAGTTCAATCCAAATGCCCTTGTGTATAGGTGCATTTGCAGAGATAGAGGCGGAGGCGGATCTGGGTCAGCACTAGAATATTTCACTGCCCACAAGCCTCGTATCACAATCCGATGAGTGTCTCTCCGTTGCCGTGATCAGTGCACCACTCCAGGTCCAGACGACCGCAGCGCAGTCATCTGCCAGCCATTCACGACTGCACAGTCCACAGCCGGGGCGGTCCTTGCGGGCTCCAGCACCATCGGCGAACAGTCGTGGAAAGTGCGTGGGATCGGCGCCGTCAAATCCGGGTCGGCTGACCGCCCTTCGACGCCCAAGGCATCTTCCATCCCTGGCCATCTCTATTTCGCTGTCCTCATTAATCCGGCGGACATATCACATCTCCAGATTGCAAAGAAGGTGAAGCATGGCCCCCCGCAAATCTCCGCGCAGCTTCACAAAAGAAGCTTCTTCTCGCAAGGTCAGCAGAGCCAGTTGGTATGAGAATGCTCACAGCAGCACTTCGAGGTCACCCACCTGCCTGCCATATGAATGGAAGGAATACACCACCGATGGAGTGCCTCGCACGTTGGTGGGTCGGTGCTCTCAAACAATGTCACTGTTTCATGTAGGCGGGGTCTTCAAGCGTTCGCCATGTCATGGAAACTAGGGCGGTAGCTGATGGTGTCCCGATCGATGCAGTCCTGAGGCGCCTATAATTTCATGCGAGGAAGACTCGGTGGGTCAGAGAAGCAACGACACAACCTGGATCCGCGCGAATGAATGCAGAGCCGCTCCGAATCACAGAACAATCTCAATTGTTCTCCTTCTAAGGCAGCGGCCTACACAATCAAGGCAGATCTCATTCGGCCATTGCGAGCTATGTGCTTTGAGCATGTCCGAATGGAGTCATACCGGTGAGCATCGTCATAAGCACCGTGTGTCGAGCTAAACGAACCTGAAACGAGTGTGAGGGTACTTGCGCAGTTGCTCGGAATAATGTGATCCAGGTAATCGCCCCGACCAACAGCGCAAGACAAATTAAAACACACCTAATGCGTTCCCCAAGCCCGAACCCTCGCCCGTCGGCGCGGATCCTCCGGTCATAGCGAAATTCCACACCAGAAAGGCACTTCCACAGCCAACATGGCGTGCAGATAGACATAACCGCTCATACGAGGCACCAGTCGAATGCCTAGGGACCGCGCTAGCAGGAAAACTATATCCATATTGAATTGAGCGTGCGGGTCATGCTGCACGCCTTGAGGATCTAATACATCGGGAATCAGTACTGCTATGTATGAAGCAGACGGACCATGCCAGGCCCGTCGATGTTTTGCTCAAGCTCCTTCGCATTCACACCCTGCCAGAGACAGATGGAACGGCGCTGAATCAGCTGTCGTCGCCAATCACCGAGCTACCCACATACCGGGTGCTACATACCACCATCCACTCGCACATGTGCACGGCTTTACAGCGTCTTATCCGCATTGAACCCGCCCTCCGTGCCGATTACCGCCGCGCTTGTCTTCGCATCCAAGAAGAGCTCACCCATCTCGTCGACGTCCTCCAGCTCGATCTGCTTGCGGCCAGCCAAACCTGCGAGGATCGAGGCGGGTGTGAGAAGCTGCAGTGCGTACCTATCGCGAGCGAGGTGAGCCACGACATGTCTGAATCAGCCATACGATCTGTACTGACGGAAACTT